AGATGATGGGACCGATGGGAAGGAGAGGAATCTATTTCTTCCGTTTCCCATTTTTCATTGTCATCGTTGTAGAATTTCAAACTTTTTAAAGGTAATTTAATTTTTAACCTTATTTTTTATACATTTTTATTTAGGGGTGATATTATATCGTAGCCATCCAGATCCCCCCTTTGAGGGAGGTGAAAGGGTTAGGAGTATCCATAAATATCAATAAATACCAATGAATAGATTTCGCAGATCTCAGAGCACAGAATACAAAAGGGGCAAATCTTTCTCCGGGAGAGTCCTAAGAAATGAAATGAAAAGGGGGGGGGGGTCCCTGCATTTCCCCCCCCCAATGGAACTCCCCCTCCCGCACTCACCTCTCCGGCCAACCATGTGGCCGCCCTGGAAAACCTCGTAGTTGTGTCGGCAGAAGTAATCCACAGTGGCCTTCGCGTCCTGAAGGATGCGCTTATCCCTGTTGAAAGCCTCCGCATCCGCCTTCCCCAACGCCGTGACGGCCTCGAACTCCCCGCGGGCGCTGTCGAAGCGGAGAAACTCCTGCCGGTCGTAGATATCCCGGTACACGTACCGCACCCGCCGCGTCCCGTTGAGGAAGCGGCACTCGTCCTTCGTCTGGTACAGGAAATGGGCTGCGGGGAGGAGGAGGAGGAGGAGGAAGAGCGTCAGGAGGGACTCCAGGGCCCATGGTTCCCAGCCTCTCCTAGAGGAGGGACACAAATCTTGTCAGAGGCGGGGAGGGAAACCTGCCGGGAGAGGCTACCGGAAGGCGCCCCCTGGAGGAGGGATGGGGAACCGTCGGTCCCAGCGGGATTCCTCCTCACTTGGTGGGGGGTCTGGAGGGGGGAGGAAAATGAGGGAGGGGAGGAGCTTCCTGAGGGACCGCCTCCTTCTCCCGAGGGTGGAAAAAGGCAGGCAGAAGTTCAGCTGGTCCAGCACTCGGCCTAACTGTCTGCAGGGAACGTGGGATCCGGGCGGGGCTTCTTTGCCCCCCCCCAAAAGGCAGGAAATATGGGGGGAGGGAAGAGACCCCCCAGGAACT